GAACATAAGCTGTCCAGCCAGAGGAAATACAATTATTTATACAGAAAGTCCAGAATCCACAATCCTTCTTAATATAATTCTGTTTTATAACATTTCTGAGCTATGCTTAGAATGCGTATCAATGGCATTAATTCTAGCATGAACTTTTTGTTATAAACACAGATTGAAGAAGTTTCTTGGTTGCTTCCTTTTTCTAAAGTCTGCTTTACAACTGACAAAGCCAGCTGGCACTGTGAATCGCTCTTAGTACAGAAAGGCAGGCTTGCGATTAAGTCACAGGAGTGGGAGTGCGAGGTTCTATTTCTGGCTCAGTCGCAGACGTCCTGGGTTATCATAGGCAAATCTGCTAATTTTCACTATCAGTCATATGGACAACCCAACTGCTTGCTGGAGTGGCTCCCCCCCCCCCCGCCAGTGAAGGAATGGACTGACAGTATGTTGTGCACAAGGAGTCTCCAGCAAATGTCCTGGAAAGCAGTGGCAACTGAACACCTCAGAGCGGCACTAAATTTAGAGCTTTTCTAACTCGTATGCGGGGATGGCACGGGCAGAAAGGTGGGTTCTTTGACAGCTTTGTTCATTCTCCCTCCCTGATCTCAGAAGTTTCCCGTGAGACTTTAAACATATTCTTGTTACGTACTGACGTGCCTGAGGAAGACAGTGTCAGAGTAGAATGGAATTTACTTTAGGAAATGACAGCAAGCTCCAACACCACCTTTACTAATAAAACCAGCGTGTGACAGATGTCAGTGTTGTGCCTGATTCTGATGTTAGCCACAACTGTATTACCCTGAAGTAACTCATTGATAGTGACCAAACTATTTGCAGAGTTAAAAAAAAAAAACCAAACACCAAAACCAATCCAGAAGTTGATGTTTTCACTGCAAGGGTGTCTGAGGCAAATTTCAAAGATGGCATGATTGATTAAAAGGTGTATAGTAATGCAAGATGATGTAAATGTAGGAATGATTAAAGAATTAACTAGTAGCTACTTTAAAGTCAGTGTACGTTGTTCTTTATTAACTGCAATTATGCAAGACAAAGTGTAAAGAAATACACAGCAATCTTCTAGGAAATAAGTTATGTTCAGAATAGTTCTTAGAAAGGACTCGACTGCATAAAATGTATGTTCAATGAAATTCAGTCTCCAACTGTAATAAAAATGTAGCTTTGTATGAATAACAAAAGAGACAAAAGAAAATCAGTTCCTTCAGAGGTTCACTTGCTCTGGTTGTTTTTGCAGTGATAGCTTGTGAGATACAGAAAACTAAGTAGGACATAAACAATATAAACTTGATTGGGCTGGCAGAAATGGTGAAGAGAAGGTGCAATTTAAAGTATTCTTTTTTAGTATCTTCGATCCTGCTAGTGAACTCCATTTTTTAATTTTTTTTTTTTTTTTTTAATGACTGTTTTTAATTTGGCAGTTCCCTTTACACAGGAGAAAAAATAACAATAGACTAACTCATACCAACCACCATCTTCATAGAATCATAGAATACCAGGTTGGAAGTGACCTCAAGGATCATCTGGTCCAGCCTTCCTCAGCAGAAGCACCGTCTAGACAAGATGGCCCAGCACCCCGTCCAGCCAAATCTTAAAAGCTTCCAGTATTGGGGAATCTGCCACTTCCCCAGGGAGATTATTCCAATGGCTGATTGTTCTCACTGTGAAAAATTTTCCCCTTGTGTCCACTCGGAATCTCCCCAGGAGTAACTTGTACCCATTACCCCTCATCTTTTCCACGTGACTCCTTGAAAAAAGGGAGTCTCCACCTTCCATGTAGCCACCCTTTAAATACTGGAACATGGTGATAAGGTCTCCCCTAAGCCACCTTTTCTCAAGGCTGAGCAAACCCAGTTCTCTCAGCCTTTCCTCATAGGGCAGGCTTCCCAGTCCTTTGATCGTCTTTGTGGCCCTTCTCTGAATCCTCTCCAGCCTGTCCACATCTTTCTTGCATAGCAGGGACCAAAACTGAACACAGTATTCCAGGTGTGGCCTGACAAGCGCTGAGTAGAGTGGGATAATGACTTCTTTTATCTCTGCTGGTGATGCCCTTGTTGCTGCAACTCGGCATCCTGTTGGCTTTCTTTGCCGCAGCAGCACGCTGTTCACTCATATCAAGCTGCTTGTCCACCAGGACCCCCAGATCCCTTTCCACAGAGCTGCTCCTCAGCCGGGTAGGTCCCAGCCTGTGCTGCACTCCTGGATTATGTTTTCCAGGTGCAAGACCTTACACTTGTCTTTGCTGAACTTTGTTGAAGTTCTCCATGGATTGGATTGTGCTGTGGAGGGCCGAGGTCACCTGCTCATTCATTTTATCAGCCAGAACAAGTATGTAAAAACTTGACCAAAAATGAGTAATGGAAATGGGAAGACTGGATGGAAAAAAACTGTGCTCAGGAAGAATCTTAAGCTGAAGTTTGTCCTGTGCAGACGAGCAAGAAAGGCAAACCCCTGGAAGAAATATCACCCCTTTATGGTTAGAAGTCTTCTGTTTCCAAGCGGTATTAATATATAGCATGTTTATACCCATTTATTCTTGTTTTGAATTTTTCCTTTAAATAGTTGAGTTTTTTCCCCTCCCAGGTGATTAAACACTTTCTTCCCACCAAGGAAATACAACACCATAAACAGTTGAGTTCCTGGCAACTAGAGAGATGTCTTTTAGCTCTTTTACTGAATCGGGAATTCTCTGTTGGATCGACAGCAGAGCATTCTTGCCAAAGGTGGGCTAAGGGGCATCTTCTTAATACCGTTTAGTTGGATGCACTGTAAAAAGGTACTGAATGTAGACTAATTAAGGTTTCAGTTTGGGTTTTTTGTTTGTTTGTTTGGTTGGTTTTTTTTTTTAATTACAAGAAACAGAGCAGACATCCTGTTTTGGAGCAAATCACTGCTACTGCCTTCTTACTGGCTGTATCTCCTCGCTCCATAGATCCTGGTCACTACCTGTATCTCCTTTCCACTTTCTTCTCTCCCCTCCCCATGCCTTTTCTCCCTTTCCTCTGGTAGCACATCAACAAAGCCTGAACTAATTGACCTCATAAATCTTATTAACGAAGTTCACTCGGTTCCTCACTTTCAGCATCAACGCACCGGGCTTCAGAAGCAGAACTCACTGTTTAGGCAGCAGTATATTTTGGCTAGTAGTGCAGGAAGTACACAGAAACCGATGGATGCATTTGATCGCTGTGGAAATATGTTTCATTTTAAAGACAAAGGGAAGTATCCTGAATGCACCTAGGTCACTGTTGTGAGGGCTTTTTCTTTAATGCTACATAAATGGAAATAACGTGATACTATGCGAATGTAAACACAAGCAGGAGCAGCGAGCACTCCGGGTTCCCCGCCATTCCGGCTGCCTTCGCAGAGGCCCGCCCGGGCCCCCGGCTCGCTGGCCTGTGGCAG